ATATATATATATATATATATATATATATATATATATATATATATATATATATGCGTTCCAAGATCATATTTTTTCCAGTCAGTATATTATTTTTTTAAATTTTCTAAATGTCTCTTTACACCTTCTGAAAGTATATTAATGTTTTCCTACACCTTCTATTTGAGATGGAAAAATATATGAGAAGAATGCACGTAATTAACACATAAAAAATTAAATTAAACTGTCGTTATATAATCAGATGATATAATGTCAATGTTAATGATATTTTCATCTTTATTTGAAAACGACAAAATTTTGAACGATTGTAATAAAAAGTGAACAAAGAATTAATATATCGATATTTCTCCTGATAGCACTGAAACTGACAGTCAAAGGAGAAGCTAACGTGCACTGGGAGAGACGCAGGACGACGAAAGATTCCCAAGGACGTCAACAAACCCACACTGACCACTTCCGAGGGAACGAGCAGTACTTCAATCTGACTTATTTGCTGTTAGGAGATACAGGAGGTAACATTTGCTAATTGTTAAATATATACTAGGAAAAGGAGAAAGAGGAATGTTTATATAATAGCATCTGTAAAGCAATATCGCGACAGGATGATTAAGCACAATCACTCAATTAGCTATTAGCTGCGAACTGACCAAAGATTACTGCAACGAAATATTTTTAACTGACTACGAAGTAACTGAAACGTATGTTATATTTCAGCGTATGTATTACATTTCAGGCGGAGAAGTGCGAATGCCATCTGGATATAGTGAATACGCTTTTAGTTTCTTACTACCTCACAATATACCATGCAGCTTTGAGCATAAACACGGTCACATCAGATACACGACAAAAGCTATCATCGATAGACCATGGAAGTTCAATCACGAATGCAAAGTCGCATTCACTGTGGTCACATCGTACGACTTAAACGCTCACAGTCAACAGTGTGTAAGTAAAATATAAAAATTTACCGTTTTCTTCAACTCGATCTTACGCGATAAGGACTTGCAGCGTCTGTATTATAAGATATCAAGCCATAAAGTTATTGCTATCGACATTGTTGCTAAATATGCCGAATAATATATTTTCCATTAGATCGGCATAGATGACGAAGAAAACGAGAGTTTCTTTTGCTGCTTTAGCCGAGGTTCAATAAAGATGTGCATCAAATTGCCGACGACAGGCTTCGTGCCAGGGCAATCAATAGAGACCACGGTCAATCTTGAGAATACGAGTCGTGTCAACATCGTGCGGATTTGTGTTAAACTAGAACGGGTAAGTTTGTTATCCCTTGTCCACAACCTTGCTTTAATTCTTAAACCGTAAGAAATTGACCAACCACAGTTGATTATTTTTAAAATAATCTTGACTGTGGTTGGTCAATTTATTACGGCTTAAAGATTAAAGCAAGATTGTGGACATGGACTTACTGCAACGGCTATAGGACATGGTATAGTGTATAAACTATCTGACCTTGAGTCAGTCTACTTTCTTTAAATAGATCAGTAAAAATGTTTCTAATTGAATCGGTAAAGGGAATATTTCACTGATGATGTTTTCACTGGTTTTCAGTGAAAACATTCCCACTTTATTGTTCCGTCTAACACTAAAAAAGAAAAAACAGGATAGTGGCAATTGAAAAAAAATATTTGAAAACTTATTTAGTCGATATAAAGCTAATTTCTGTGAAATAAACTTTTATCCCACAAATAAATTTTTTAGTATTTTTTCTTAGTATATATAGAGGTGAAAACTATACGCGTGTTTTGTATATAGAATTAAATTAAAGCATATAGTTTAATAAGTTATTTTGTAATTATTGCAACTAAAGCTGAACGGTTACAAGAATTAAATAAAACTATGCAGTTCCCGTAAATATTCATGGGTGAACACTCGAAACGGAGTGTTAGCTATAATAACTAGAGAAAACAGTTTATCAAATTATTACATTAATTCTATATATAAAACTCATATAGCTGCCATCTATAAGGTTGCCACCGCTATACTCTTTCCTCTGAATGTATATTTCATCGATTTTGACCAATGGAATTAAGATTTCTCTGCAAAATCTCTAATACATTCCCTTTATACATTGTACCAAATCTAACTTTGTGTGTTCTAACAAACTGCGTTTGTGACGATGGAATTAACTGCTTCTATTTGTCTTGCGTGCAATGCACGGTGCCCAGACAGCACAAGATCTTCAGAGGAAATCCTTTCAGAATGTCTTTAGGATATTCTGTAAAGATCTGTGCTGTTTAGATCTATGTGCAAAATGCATCAGCAATGGGAGTGTTGTTAACCAATCTTTTCAACGAGATTTTACTGTAAATGCAGTGCTGTATTTATAACTGAACCTCCAGCTATAACATTTTAGTGAAGAATACACTAATTGTGAGCTTTTAGAGAGCACCGATCTTATTTTTATCAATGTGGTAATCTCGATCTTCGCTCTCCTTTTTTTTCATCTCTATTTACCTAGTCTCTAGAGTTCCACGCAAAGACACCTTATCACCTTACCAAGACGGATAAGGCGATCGTAAAGGCAGAACAAAATAACGGACCGTTCGGCCAATTGTCCAACATTGTATCACGGTTGCAAATTCCGCCAATACCACCATCTCAACTGGAGCATTGCGGCATAATAGATCAAAAGTACACTGTACGCATCACGGTTCATGTCTCGGGCATGTACGTACCCGTTTCTTCAAAACATAGTAACGAGATAAATGCGACTCATTTCGTATGTCCACACATTTACGCCAAATTGTTTGAGTCTTCCTTTCATCAATAACTTCGGAATTACAAAGTTTGACTTTTTCATTGTTTGCCAACTCTATTTGTTCGCTTATAATTTCCAAGATTATACTATGAAATTATACCAGTTGTATTGCTGATTTGTTAAAATCATAATCGTTCGATTATTTCCTCAACAGGCATTGCAGCATCACTAAGACTTACCCGATTTTAATCGGAACAATTCCATTACGCTCGACAATGCCATCTGCACCTTACCAACAAAACATACCTCAACCCACAGCTCCTATGATTCAGGAATATGACGACCCGCCGCCACCAATGCCAACATCTCTGGATTACTCACCGCCAAATGTACCTTATCCAGGTTCGATAGGTTTCGTTTCTCCGAATCAACCTAGCACTTCGACTAGTCAGTGGGACATGCGTGAGTACATTTTCCTTTTCCCTCATAAAAGCAACGCGTCACCAACCATCTAATTCTGTTTTGGCAATTTAATGCTAAACCAGAAAGACGAAGGTACACGTTGATTTGAAACTCTCAGCAAGTTGAAACAGCTCAAAATATATTCTTTACAAAGTGAAAAAGTCGAAATACAATCTGGATAGAGCTTATCGTGAGAATCTAATCTATAATCGAGAATTTATCGCGTTATTTCGTCTGTTTAGCACCGCCATCGTATGAGGAATGTATGCAGAAAACGAGCAACATCAAGGATCACGACGAATCCAATTACGTGCACGGCGCCAACGAGCCGTTCGCACCGAGATATCCAGTATTCAATTTCCCAGCATCGTGTAAGACCAGAACATTATTCGTTAAACGTTTGATATCGTGTTTAACGCGACGCTTTTACATTCTCGATGTTTCACTCCGTAGATCCACCTGGGAACTGAGCGAATACGAAGTACAATTCAACACACCTCGTACACGACCGCTACTTCTACACTCTGCTCGCTTGCTGAATCGTAATAAAGAAACAAGAATATCAAATCAAACACGCAAGCTGCGATCGTTACTACCTCGAATTAGAATTTCTGTACACTATTTAATATTTTAAGTGTAAATCGTATACATATTTTTGTACGTTATAGCATGCTCTAAGTCTTATTTGTAATTACAATTGCGTTCCCAGACAGTCAGATGTCCTGGGATCATTATAGAGGGTATTTATGAGAAACTTGCCAGGACATCCTGGACAAGTTCGGGACGATTTTAAGATGTCTTGTGCCATCTGGATCACGTTTTATGTGGAGTGTAACACGTATTATGTATTATATGTACAACGCGATGAATATTAATCGGAAATATGTACATCGCGTACTCAACATTCGCTTACATCAGCATTCAACGTCAGCGAAACATTTGGGAGAAAGTCAAAGGATGCAATGCGTAAAAAAAGTACCCAAAGGGAGCAAAATAAAGATGATTATGCGAAAATGGTATATTTACACAATTTATTTTATATCTCAACATCATTATCATATCATAATCATCATCGAGTCATTAGATAGCAAAATTAACGTGGTTGGTTAACATTAATAATTAATTTCGAATTTCGACAGAAACGGACAGGGATAGTGACGCAACAGAGAAGAAAAGGGACTCGTTCCGATAACTTTCGCAAGACAATCTGGATCTGGAGTTTCGCATTCAGCAATCAGAGTGAATGCGAAAAGCGGAAAATAGAAGTCGGAAGTGGAGCGGAAGGAAAAGGACTATATGAAGAATCGTGAACTTAGCGCGAACGGTCACTCCTATGAGAGATTTTCTATAGTCTACAATAATTGTACTCCAAATTTACAACATAGCAAATGTACACAGTACAACTATTCACATTCAGCCACCAAATGCCCGGCGAGAACGTATCATTGTAGGAACTGAACCCATCCATTTCAACGCGTTTAAACGCTGCCTTAAATACTGAGAATGAACGTCGATTGCTCTATTGCTCGGCATTGCTGTCGGATGACTGCGAGAGAGATGGTGAAAACTTGCTACTTTGCTCGAATAGCCGACTCTTGTGTCGCGTCCTAAGGAGTCAATGCTCGCAAACTATTCTTACATCGCAAACTTCGCTTTTAATGCCGCTTGCACACACGTGAATGGTCCCATTGATTATCAGAACTTGGCCCTGTTAAGATCGGTGTGGTAGCCATTTACTTTGATGCAAAGTCGACTTCCGTAACACACTCGCGGCCGCATCTCGCGTCGAAACAGTGGAGGCGAACAGCGAGTTCTCTTTTGGCGGACCATTCTAACAAGTCGTAAGCTGCTACATTAAGGCGGTCTCACATATTATTCACAGAAACATCCGAAGCAAAATCGGTAGGAAACGATGCGCTACGATTCACAACATTTTGCGGGACATGACTAACGTTCGAGATGCTTGAATGTGTACGACCTAAATCGGCATTCAGTGTGGTAGGAGCTTACTCGTGCTAATTCGATATACAATCCGAGCTGGAAACATGACGGAACGAACTCATAAACCGTATTAGATATAAGGATATGATTAAATTGCGAAGGAAACGTCACAAAATCTTCGATTATATAATTACAAAGAACAACAAAGTCAGGAATTATATCAGCGTGGACTTGGTTCACGACGAGCACTGAAACTTGTGTACGCAACACTTGAAAAAAAATTACATCTCCAGAAAGTCCTCAAATGTAGCAAACGAAGTCCAAATGGCATTGGCGTACTTGATTGAACGTGCAAAGGAGGAAGTAGTCTCTACTAAACGAATGGATCTTACAGAGTCCCTGACTCGATAATGTTTCCTGACTTCTTTCCTAAACTTTTTTTTTCGAGCGTCCTGGTTCTTCGGGAGGGAAAAGGAACTGTGCGCTCCGACTTTACAAAAATTTGCATCGCTTATATTACAATAACCTTCCCTCGATTTATGACATTCAACCCTTAATATATTATTATCATAAATAAATTTGGTCTATCGGTAATATTGTGAATACGCCGGTACAAATACTGGCAGTATTTGGTTAAGTAAAAAATCATGATCACTAGAAGAGGTAACTTCGTATGGGATCGATTGCGGTATTACAAGAACAATTCCTTCCGTTTCTCATATCTTTCTCTTACGTGGTGCTGAGCGGAAAAGATCATTGCAATTCGTCGCTTCGCGATGATGACGCAAGTGAAGCCGATGTTTCACACGCACGTTACTACTTCCAGTAAACTTGATTTGACATCCTCTGAATGATTTACCGGGGGTTTCGCAAATCTATCCACGGCAGAAGCGGAACTTTCCGATTGGACCGGAACTTTCACGACTCGGTCCGCGCATACTTTCTTTTGTCGTCATTCAACTAACATTTACACATAGCCTAGTGCAGGAGATAATTAATGCCCTGTGTGTGAGACTAACTTTCCTAATTGTCCTCGCAATGATCGGATAGATGAACAATCGATTAAAGCGGCACATGTAGATATCTATCAAAGGAATACGAGACTTTCATGTTCAGATTTCATATTTACTTGAAGTTTAATCGAACTTCGCACGAGTTCCATGATGATGATCGCGTCGACGCGCGACAAAGATAAGCGAGATAACGCTACTGCGTGAATAGATCTACCAATGGAACCGATAGGAGAGTGTGCTGTGACTCCGGTAGATCGGCTTGAAAAAATGGGCGTTGTAACAGATGCCTTCAACGTTTCCAACTTGATCCACCAAAACTGCCCCGGTCAGCATGTATTGTAAACTATCGCGACCCACTTATTCGCGCTTCGTTTTAAAAAAATAATCAATGTTGTTATTGTTTACCACCGCAATGTGGCGTAATGGGTTCAAGACAAACATCAACATCTCATCTCTACTTTGTATGCGTACATACATCATTAAAACCGTTAACATTAACTGAGATTAAGAAAAAGGCATTATTTTACATTGTCATCGTGTGTTGATCCAAGTCATGAACCGGAGGACACTGAGTCGTGCATACGCAGTGTTTTCTTTTTTTTTTTTTTACATATATCTATAATGTACGTATGTGTTGTGTATATGTGTGTATGTGTGTGTGTGTTTACACGTGTGCGTTGTATACGTGTGTATATGTACGTGTCTCGTGTGGTATGTGTTTCACGCAATCACTTTACATTATTACACTGTTGTTTCAGTCCACACGCTTTTCAAAGACCTGCAAAGGAAAATCTCAGTTTGTCCCGTGCATTTTCCTATACAACACGCAAACTCCACTCTATGCAACGTACGACAATGTATTAGAATTTCATGAATTACGAGCCAGTTCTTATTTTGTATGTGCTATGTATGTGGTAATAATGCGCATAAAACAAGCACATATATTTTATTCCTCACGAATAAAAATAGAAATGCGCAATCAATATGACGAACAATGAACTCCTGTGTGCAACATACAAACGTATGACACTTCAAAATAATCAATATTGTTATTAGATAAAGTCTACAACCACTATATAAAATTTCTACAAAATATATAATTTGTGCTTACAATCAAAATATTCCATTACACTGGGTGATTTACATAGAATTTCTGATGTTTCTTATATATTTTTATGCACAGAATCCGAAAATGAACTCAACATTTCTCCCTCACCCACAGTTTTTTTTTTTCTGTGCGCCATCTGAGATTTATATTGCACATGGGATATTTTACGCAATTCGCTGTTTGATTTAATTACAAATTCTTTTAATTAATTCTTTTTTACTACAAAGTATCTCCCACAAAAATTTCTTCCCATTTCAGCAACATATTCGTGTATAAAAATTCATTAAGATTAATGATATTTTCTTCCTTTTGTGCGATTTCCTTTCAGCTCCAAACAGCACAGATCTCCACAGAATATTCTAAAAACATGCTGAGAACATTCCTATATCCTGAACATCCTTAGAACATCCTCTGGAGATCTTATGCTGTCTGGGTTAAACACAAGATATGATAAAAGCTAATATATTTTTTACTTTTAAAAAAGACAAGCCAAAAAGCTGAAAAAACTACTAGTTTCTACATTTTAAGTTAGACATGTCTGCATGTACAAAGAAAATCAATCGCTTTATATTGTAAAAATTCATCTTTCAATTGAAAGAAGAAAAAAGAATTGAGGAAGAGTGATAGGAAAAATGTTTGCATTTTTAAGGAAATATTATACAGATCACATAATTTTGTCCATGTGACGAGAAAGCTTTCTTTTTGGTAGACCAATATTATCCAATATGCATAACCATGAAGAAAATTAAAAACTAAAGAAAAAGAAACGCAGCTATTTGGAGGTAAAAAAGTTACATAATATGTATAATGTAGAGCAGTGCTCGGAATTACTTGAACTTTCGAGGCGGTTTTCGAAGACTACGTCTCCCCACCCCTCCTCGCCGCTCACTCAGCGAGCTACGCAACTGACGCTCGCGGCGCTCAGCCTCAGGAGTGTGAACCTCGTCGTCATACTTGAGGGGCTTTTCAAACGCTGAGAGGATCTGATCGAAACTAATTTCTTACGCGTATAATTTTGATTAATTATTATAGAACCGACATATAGCGTATCAGATTTATAAGTTCGTAATTATAATATGACATAAATAGATTTCCACGTTACTCATGAGATGAGGTATTATTAACTATTGCTAGCGCACTTTTTTTCTTAAAACTTAATTACTCACACTCCTGAGGCTGAGTGCCGCGAGCATCAGTTGCATGGTTCGCTGGGTGAGCATACAAAAAACACACACGGCATTTAAATAAACTACTACAATTACTTGTTTTAAGTATTTCATGAGCCTATGTATCCGCAAATCTGTCATAAGCTCATCATAAACATCAAATTTGTTCAAAATTCATCCTAATAAATCTAATATTTTAATCAAGGATATCAAATTAAAACAGAAATTCAGTTTGTTTGCCTTGCACAGAGTCGAAGCATCTGTTTCTTAAATAAAATTTTACGATATTCTTGAAAGAAAAGAAATTCTTGAGTTCAATAAGCCTTTCTAAAATTTGTCATCAGTATATTTTGACTGTTATCAAGAAAATGATTTGCTGAAGACAACTATTGCTTAAAAGAAGAGAAGTAAACAAAGTAATCGCTCTTAGCAACAGAATAATATCTTTCTCTATGCGGGAATTGAGCAAGAAAGGCTTTCGGAAATCGTCTAGGAAGTTGAAGTAATTCCGCGAACACTGATTCAGAGTTAAAGAAATGGAGTGTTCGGGACATACCATAATCACGTGCGAATGTTTAACCTTCTCTCTTAATGGCACCCGGGGCTTCGGCTAGCCCTTTAACTTTAAGCCGGTCTGCCGTTTTGAGAAATGCTGGAAGCTGATCTTGCGAGACGTTCACCTCACCAGCATACATGAATTCTAGAATGGCTTGCAGGTGACTATATGCAACGTCCTTTAGTATTATAATTGGATGTTTGGACGGATTTTCCTGCAACACACATATTGAATAATGAACTAATGCATTAAATAATAGAGTATATGGATTAATGAATTAATGCATTAAATAATAGAGTATATGGATTAAATAATAGAGTATATGAATTGCAGAACGACATATTTCTATAATAAGAATACTGCCAGCACAGCATACCTCTAATAAGGATTTGAAGTAAGGACTACAGGCAGACAGGACCATTTTATGTGCCTTGCAAGTTTGACCGTCGCAAGCCAGTGTCACATCCGTGAAGCTTTTCTCGTCTCGCAGGTGTTTGAACGACGACACCATATTCGACTGGAAGTCGTTCCATTTGAGAAAAAACTGCTGCTGCTCTCCCGCCATTGTGAATGCCGAGCTTGCCCTATAACTTCTGCGTAATTGTGCAGCCTGCAAAACAACATTGTACTGAGGGCGCATTCTAACAGAAAAGCAGAAGCCGATCAGAACTCGTGCTGATGGTCAAGTGATCAGTCGACTAGTTTCTGCTTTCCTACCAGTGCAAGTTCTGATTGGCTACTGTCTTTCTGTTTTCTGCCTTTCTGCTAAGAAATCTGTTCTTTTTAGCTAAACTGCCTGAAACTGGTGCAAACCAGTGCTATAAGTTAGAGTGAAGTAAAATATATTTGTGAAACAAAATATATTATCTCACTCTAACTTACTGCACTAGTGTGCATCAGTTCAGAGAGTTCAACTAGAAAGAACATATCTAAGATAAATTATCCCTGAGATATCAGTTTTCTTTTGAAGTACTTCTTAAGCTGATGCACATTGTTGCAATAAGTTGGAGTGATACGATATATACTTCACCCTCTTTCTCTCTCTCTCATTAACTTACTACACCAGTATGTACCGGTTCAGAAAGTCTTCAAAAAAGAATAGACTTGTCATCGATGAGAAACAACTGAGGATCTATTCTTTTCAACTGAACTAGTTGCATTTTTCATTTTCAGAGTGACACGTTTATAACCTAGCGTTAAAAGAGAGAAGAAACAATATTCCAGTGCGGCACTAGTTCAACTAGAAAAGAAGAACACGCCTCAGGTATTTTCCATGAACATGCTCTCATACGTGTGTGTAGACAGGAGAAATACGGGAAAACTGAAACGAATGGAAGTACAGTCAGCTGTCCGAGCACTCAAGAACGCGTACCCGTCACGAGATGTCTACCACAGGTAAATAAGCGAGTGATCACGATGGAAAAAACCGCGAAGAGACGAACTGGTCGACGATGAGAGCGCGGGACGGGGGGATAGGGGTGCGAACGCGAAACTCTGCGCGCCAGATCCTTTGTAGGTTAAGCCAAGAGACGATGTCTCGGCAGGCGAACGAGCGGGACGCGACGACGCGAGTCGGCCGAGTCTCGGTGCGAAACGGACCGTATCATCATCCCGAAGCCGAGGAGTCGCGCGCGATTCGCCGTATCGCGCTAATGAATGTCAGCTAGGCGTTTATCACCCGCGCTTCGTCACAACAATACGCGCGCGTCCGTCGGGCCGTCCCGTCAAAGCCGCACGGACCCAACACAACAGACAGGCGGGATCGAAAGCTCAGCGACGACGAACTCGTACGGCATGCGCACACACGTTCCTTACTTCGTGTCGTTGGCGAACAATCGGGTCCCAGACGAGGCGACGACGTGATTGAGAGCAGCTCCGCGGCGAACAGGGAAACGCGAAAAACACGCAGCGCCGAAAACTTTTTACACGATCGCCACGAATTTTTTGTTGTCGCTAATATCACGATGAGGAAATTCGGCTGGGCTCGAGTCTTTCCGGCGACGGTCGGTCCGCGCACGTCGTACCGACTGGAGCTGACTCGCGAGTGTGCCACCCGATGGCGCGACCTGCGCGATCACGGCCGTTAGATCGCGAAAGACTTGAACAGGTACGTATTCTCGGGGCGACAACACTAAGGGGCGTATTTTCATTGGCGCATCAAGGGACCTACTCGTAAATTCGCTATTTTACCAATAAAATTACGATTTTTATATATATAATTCACTATCTAAGTAATAAATATTAATTTGAAACTAACTTCATGATGCTATCTTGCCACGTTTCACTCAGTATAATGCTATTCAAAGGATAAATCGGTTTCTGGCCTGCAATCAACTATTACATAAAAACAATATAGTGAATGCCATTCTTTCTTTTTTATGCCGCTTTTCCTAATATACAACACTTATAACAACAAGTTTTTCGCTTGAATAGTACCATTTTTTTTACAAAGTTACTGTATGAAATAATGATCATCTATATTGCTTCTACTATAAAATTATACATGCAAAATTACAATATTCAGTATTATTTCTCATAAATGGTGCAAACAGATCGCACAAAACTTTAAGTGAATGTGTCTTATCGCAAAAAATATTTTAAGTTTTTGTATAATTGTAAATATTTTGGTGTTTAGGTGAAAAAACTCCTTAAAATGGTAAATTATGGCGAGTTTATCAGCAGTACTTAGATAATCTACTTTACCATTTTTAACTCGAAGTTGGAAAAATGTTTTGAATGCCAAACAGTTTTCCGCCATTTCAGCATTCTGCTATATATACGAAAGATCAGAGTTAATTATAATACAATTCTCTATTAGGATGAGAAAAAGAGGAAAAGAGAAAGAGAAAGAAAGAGGAACATTTCATGCACACAACGAAATTGTTTCAACAGAAAGAGAGAAAGAGAAAGATAAATTAAACATACACGCAAAATGAAATTAAAAAGACCGGAAAAAGAGTAGACAAAAAATAGCATGTGTCATTTGCAGATCCCTTATTCCCGTTTTATGTCCCGTTTTATTATATAACACGCACAGTGACATGTATATAAGATGAATTCGCATAATAAAACGCACAATTATAACGATCCGCATAAGGATTTTAACGCGGCCTAATCCCAGCGTCAATTGCACGCAAAACCGTCGCAGCTTCTGTTTTTTTTTTCTTTCGCGCTTCAATAGCAACAAGACTATCGACGCAAGCGTGTCACACACTGATACACAGGAACTCGTCGTTCAATGTGCACGATTAATGTGCGTCAGCGTGCGTTGGCTCGTAGATCAACGCACGCGAAACTACTGCGCGCACGATATTGAGATAAAAATCCTAGTTGATAAACAATCAAAACATGACGCAACAATGATTCGCCTATTCGCGCAGACAAGCACTCTTGCGCTACACTTGATCGCGATATACCTCGCGCGGAAGTCGCTGGTTGTCGAGTTGATCTGTTGATCCAGCAACAACGCCGGAAGAGCAACGACGGGCGATTAAGAACTCCAGGGAATTCCAGAGAAAGAGCGAAGGCACCAGAATAAACATTTCCATGATGGGCATCGATTAATCTATCAAAGTTTGAACGCAAATAACAAGATATAGAGCGCGTTTCAAAAGAACCGGGGTCATCTCCGCCACGAAATCCCTAACAATGCCCAATAAACATCAACTAACAGGAACATTATATCAATATTATAATTGTCTGTGATGTGATCGTTATACGTACAACACATGTTATATTGCACTCATGTTGTTGAGTGGAAAATTATAACCCAGATGCAACATAGATCTCTAAAAAAAATCTTGAAGATGTCTAAAACACATAAGACGTCTTCAAGACATCTTTTAGAAGTTTGTGCTGTCTGGAAACGTTGATGTATAATAATATGTAATACTGTTGCATATTCAACGCATGTTATATTGTACTTATAATGTTGAGTGGAAAATTATAAGCCAAACAGCATAAATTTCTAAAACCTAAAGACATCTTAAAGGTGTTTAAAACATATAGGACATCTTTCAGGCGACTTCAAGACATTTTTTAAAAGTTTATATTGTCGAAGAGCGTTCATATAATTACATTTAGTGGTGTTTTCTGTGGGTGTCGGAGACAGAAGCGTATGTAACGACAAAAGAGAGGCCCCGCTCGATCGGTAACCGTTGATTGCGCAATATCGTGCAAACGACGACATGCTCCCGTCAATTGCGGCGGGCTACTGCCAGTTGTTCCGAAAAAAGAGTACCGAGTATCGTCAACCGATATTGCACAGTAGACACAATGTCCCACGTCATAACCTGTGAATACACATTGTGCCATGTAAAAAATATCTGGACGCATCCAGTGGAAATAATAGTTGAAGCAACGTGATTGACTATAATTGATGTGTATCCCGAGATATTCTCAGGTTCGAGTTAAGCATGAGCGCTACTGAATCGCTACGTGACAGTTGCTCGTGTGGTGTTGGCAGCGAATGGTCGGCTACAAACCGCAGAAGCTAATTATGCGAGCGGGAAATCCGTGCACCTATCGAGTGGAAGGAAGGCCACCTTTCGTACGACGTGTCGCGAGTGCCACCGGGAGAATCAAAGGCCGGAAAACTTTTTCTGCCGCGCGGACAGAGCCACGGCGGGGAACGCGGCGGCATGTCGAAGCATGAGGGCTGCTGAAGAGATAGATAGATAGATAGAGAAAGGGAGAGTGAGAGGGGGGACAGAGAGGAGAAAGAGAGAAAGAGAGAGAAACCACATTCAAGAGATCAAAAGAATCAAGAGGGACGAAAGGGTGGAAGGAGGAGGAAAAGACGGCCGAAATGCGTCTTCGGGGGCGGAGAGAGAAATATGGAAAAAGAATGGAAATTGGTGGGGAGTGAGAAAGAGAGAAGGAGAGAGGGGCTCGCGCAGCGGCGAGCGGAAAAAGCGACGCGCATAAGAACGAGAAAGAGAAAGAAAGAGAAAGAGTGATAAAGGGGTCCTGTGTGGCCAAGGCGCGCGGGGCGCGAGGGAGGATAACTAGCGAGCGAGCGCCGGGACGGGGAGAGAGCACGGTGGACGCGCCGCGGTCGGTCCCTCCGAGAGAGGACCACTCGCTAGAGGCAAGCGCGGAGCGGACGGAGGGAAGCGCACGGCGTCGCGGGCGCAAGCGCAATGAAACGCGGAGTGCTCTCGGCGCGCGCGCCACATTGAAAGCTTGCGACATGCTGCGGAGGTGCTCAGTCGCGCGCCAACTCTCACGGGGGTGGTATCGCCGCATCGGATTTTCGCTCTCGCTCGTTCGCTCGTTCGTTCTCTCGCAGTAGTCTCTCCGTGTGTTGTATCGCGGTGCAAGAGAGGCGAGGCATATAGAGTCGACGTCGTGCACGTAGGCGTCGGTAAACCGCGTTGGCGCACGGAGCGAACACGCGACCCGGAGCAGGCGACGTGTACGACGGGTTCGGTCGCTCGAGTTCTTAAACGAGACTACGGCGACGACCAGCGCGAAACGCGTGGCCGTCGTCCTCGAGGTGTCGGAAATACAGTCCGAGGGCCATTAAGTAAGTATTTGGAACAGTGTCAGAAGTCACGACGCGTGATTTCGAGGAAACGTCCGTTTGTTGCCGGCGATAGTGGCGTACGCGCGGTGACGGTGTGACGACACGGCGCGGATCTCCTCACCGTCGAGTACCCTCTCCTCGTCTTGTGTCGGCTGGTCTCTTGGAGACGCAGTTACGCGCCGCGCTACGACGGCCGCGGGAGGGGGAGACAACGTGCGGGCGGACGAGTAGAAGCAGCTTAGTACGAGTACGCGAGCGTACTTACGGACACACGGTGTGCGAGCGAACGAGTGCGCGCGCGCGCACGCACGCACGCACGCACGCACGCACGCACGCACGCACGCACGCACGTACGCACGTACACACAGGTGGTCTCCGTGGTGAAGGAGTCGCGGTAGCAGGACTCGCGCGCAGGAGCCTTTTTTGTGATGTGCGAGTGAAATGATGGACTCACCAGTCATGTACGATTCATCGGCTCATCAGGCCCAGGCGCAGGGTGCGGGCGATCTGAAGAAATCCCAAGTGCTCAACAACAACACCAGCAACCAGAACAACAACACCACGAACAATAATTCCGCGCTGCAGGTCAACCACAACCATAGCCAGCAGCAAAATAGCGCGGTGGTGAGCAAGGTCTCCGCCAGTAAGGCGAGCTTGCACCAGCAATACGCCGAGCACTGCGCCACTTCCGGCGAGCTCACCGACCTCAACACCCCGGAGATCTCGTTGGACCTGCAGCACCTGATCGACGACAATCACTTCAACGACGGTCTGTTGGACATGCTCGGTGCTAACAACAGCGCTGTCAAGCATGTCAGGACCTATCCGCGCACGACCACTCTCGCCTACATGCCGCAGCCGGTGCACAGCGGCGCGAGTTACCACCAAAACAACAACAGCTGCAGCGACAGCAACAGTTCGAGTTCGGAGTCACCCAGCATCAAAGAGGAGCCGCTGGACCCGGCGGACTACCGGCGCCACTGCCCTCAATATCCATCGGCCGGTTACAGTCCAGTAACGAGCAGCCCCTTCGCGAACGGTGCTCCGACCTTCACCACCTTGACGCCGTCCACCGTGCCCGGCGGTCACCCGGGCGCGCCGAACGTCCACCAGCCGCCGCCGCGAGGTGGTCCCATGAAGCCGGTAATGGCTCACCAGCATCACGTGACCGCTAACGTCGCCAGGAAGCAAACTAAGGCTATCGACAAGGCGAGCGACGAGTACAGAAGACGGCGAGAGAGGAACAACATCGCCGTTAGGAAGAGTCGCGAGAAAGCGAAAGTACGGTCACGCGAGACCGAGGAGAAGGTGAAGCTGTTGGTGAAGGATAACGAAATGCTGAAGAAGAGAATCGAGCTGCTCACCGAGGAGCTTAACGTGCTCAGGTCACTCTTCAGCAGTGTCGGCGTTGTGCCCGAGCAGCTGCACCGTGAGATCTCCAGGCACCTTGACCAGTTTCAGCAACACGCGGTTGGACCTATGTAGCGCACGACCATCAACGTCGCGCAGTCGTCATTCGATGTTCGCAGTCGCGTATCGACGTCGCCGTCTAACGTCGTCATCGGCTCGCGTCCCTGGGCTATCAAGCCGATCCGATTGTGAGACGAAGTCGCTTCTTCCGCTTCATCCCGCGCCTCTCCTCGACACCGCATGCGTCTCCGAAGAAGTGGTCTTTCGTGCTCTCTGACTCCCCTCTCGCTTGCTCATTCTCGCCCGCTCCTTCTCTATCTTTCTCTTTCTCTCTCTTTGTCTCTCTTCTTCTCTCGTCTCTTGCGCCGGCCTTTATCTCTCATTCGACTCTGGAGCGCGCAATGTAAGCGCACGTGCGTGCCTACGTCGTCGTTAACGCTTAAAGTCGCAAAGGCGCGGGCATATGAGAGAGAAAGAGAGAGTGAAGAGGGGAGTCGCGGCGAGTCGCGTAGGAAGGATGATCGGGAAGCGACCTACTCGCGGCGAACTCGGCGACGACGGCTGAGGAACGCGCGAGACGTGATGCGCGTGCTGATAAAAAGAGTACCTCTATCCGCGAGATACGAGCCCTTTGCTCGTAGAAAGGGAAAAAGTGCCGTCCGGACTCTGAAAACCCGAAAGGAGACCAGAGGAGGTGAAAACGGAGACGGTAAACGAATTACTCGCGTGGCGCGCGCTGGCTCATCATGTTGCGATCTTGCAAAGTTAATGTCAAAAAGCTGTTATCAAAAAGCTTTGAGAATCTGAGAGAGAAAGAAGGAAAAAAGACAATCGGATCTTCAGCTCTTCGCACTCTCTTTCATCTACCTTTGTTATTTGAGATAGAACGTTTTATTCTTCTCAGTATCTTGCTCTCGTCTCATTTTTTCCTCAGTATCTGTCGACCACAATCGTAAAATTTTGTAGCAGGTCCGTCGTGACTAACGAAAACTCTCTACGGTGAGCAAGATCGCAACATGAACATCTTCGAACAAATCACGGTCTCGATGATTCACGCGAGCATTCTCACCTTAATTGTACACACGGAACACAGACGCACCTGACATCTCCAGCGCGAAAGACACGTACACACGGCGTTGTACCTAGATTCGGTTTTTAGTTAACGTTAAATTAATGAACTTAGGTTATCGCCCTCCAATTACCAAGTACCTAAAAGGAAAAAAAAGAAGGAAAGACCACGTCGAGACTCCAACAACGATGATCTTATTACCCGTCGACGTGACTCTAACAGTCGATATAACCCCTTTCCCTTCTCTCAATCCCCAATTTCTCAATACGTACTCGCTTCCGTGCTCACATACTCGCCACTTTCAGCGAGACGCAGCCAAACAGCAACCGAGCACCCAACCATGCCCTTGTATTATATATTTTTAGCTCTTATTAATTTTATTATTATTATTATATTCGAGATTTATGTACATAAAAAAGCTAATATATTTTGTTAGAAAAGTGGAGCGCACGCGAGCGCACGCCTGTCTGCGAGTGTGTGTACGTACGTAACAATGTGTGTATGCGTGTGCATGATACAGCATGCGTCAGTACGAATGCATCACAAGACGCATTTGTTGTAATTATATATTTTATTAGCAGCGAGAGGAGACATTTTCTCGGCTCGAGAAGCGTGAATGATCGAATCGTATCTTTGAGCATTCTTGATTCTACATGCGGTCGTTTTAAGCGAAACTTCACCTTCGTGTTTACCTGTAAAATTGATAACACAAAGCGGCAGCGACCGGTGTGTGCTGTGATCGTCACGGTAACATACATACACACACTCACACATCATGTACGTATATGCGCGTGTACTCACGCGATATAATTTGCGCGGAGGCGCGCGACGCGTGTGCCGAGTTACGTTACGGCGAGTGTGAATGTGTGACGTTACGCACGCGTGCCTTGGTGTATGACTGACGTATGTTAGGTACGAGATTACCTGTCACGGTTGTCTTCTTGTCTATGCACAAATATATTTTGATATGAAACGTGCGCAACGTCTGCCCTATGTCTTTCTTCGTGTCCGCCATCTCTTTCAGCCCGTCTTCGCATTTTCTTTCCATTCTCCCACGTCCTCCGCTTTTCCGTTCCCCCGCTCGTAAATTTCATCTTGATGATATTTCACTTTCCGATGCATAGAACTATTTTTCGAGGAAGGTGCCGTTCTCTTAAGCCCAAAGAATGGGAGTCGAGAAAGAATAATGTGCAGGTTATCTTTCTTCATGGTCGACACGTGTTAACGAGTTTAAATACCATCATACGCGTGTATTCATTTGCGATGCATGGTACAAATGTAAATACCGATATCTGTTTTTCACATTTGCGTTTAAAAGTGGAGAAATATCGATAGTTTCCGATAGTTACGATCTCACTAAAGAAAGATGTTAAAAAAGTGTTGATTTTGGCCGCCGAATATAAAATGAATAGATGTTGATAAATCATTGTTTAGGCTCTCAAATGACAGAAAATAACACCATCCAAAAAGTTTTAAAAACATTGCTAGAATGGCTTAAATATAATAAAAAAAAATGGCATTGAGAAATCCACAGTGAGAGAAATCCGATAAAAAATTAATAAAAAAATATATTTCCATTATGATTAGAAGTATTCGATAAAATTTAATCGGATAACCTGATCAGATATAAAAATTAATGGGAATTTTATGGGAAATATCCGTTTATTAATTTTGTATTGTTTTTTTAGTAACTAAATGGTAGTGCTAATTAATGCGTAAAACTATACTGAGAGAAATTATCCGATAAAAATTAATAAACAAATATATCCAATCAAATTCCGATAAAATAATTCCGATCAATTATTATATCTGATCAGGATATCCGATTCAATTTAATCGTATACTTTTAATTATAATGACATTTCACCAGATAAATCGATCAAAAAAATATGAACCGATATTTCTCATTGGATGTTTTTTGATCGGATACAAAAATTCATTAGTATTTTGATCGGAAATATTCATTTGTTAATTTTTTATCGCATAATTTCTCTTAGTATAAGAGTAATTGAAACCTAATGCGTAAAATATCTTTGTGCACTTTCCAAGATTAAATAACGTCAAGAATATCGGTCTGCCAAAGCTACGAGGTTAAAAGAACTTCATAAGTGAATTTAAAACATATGTGGAAAAGTCACTATGATAAAATCAAGGGCGCTCGAAAAGGTGAAGGCGCACTCACACCTTAACAAAAAATCAGAACTTGTGCTAGTGATAGTCAACTAGTTTTTACTTTTCTAGCAACACGAATTCTGATTAACTTCTGCCTTTCTGTTTTCTGCCAAGGTGTGAATTCTCCCTGAGGTTCAAGTGAAAGTGTCACAGGAAAAAGAACCGACGCACAAATCAGGCCGGCGCGTTATCGCTCTCAAGTCTATGTTTCATGGCATCACGTGTACGGTCAAGGCGGGAGCGGGCCCCGGGGCCGAAGGGAGAATTGTGCGGGTCCACAAAGAGAACGACGGTAGAGTAGCCGGTCGTTAATCCGCCGGAAAACTACGCCGGGTCGCGCGTTACATAGACGCGAGAGCGTAGGTATATAGCAAGCGATCGGGACAACGGCGCGCGAATCCATCGAGTCGCGGCGAGCGAGTGAGTCACGAGATAAGTTTGTTGTTAGTCAGATTAAATAGATTAGCACCATTGTGACGAGCGTGACGCTCGACTGTTGCGGGCCTCACGGAACAGGATACGGCGTTCCACGTGTACGCGCGTCGCGCACCCAACGTACACGTGTCCGCAACTCGTGCACGCACACGCACACACGAAGGGTATGCGGGAGGAAGCGCGTCGGCCGCGCGGCATAATTGGTGAAACGAGTATTTCGAGTCACGATGCAAAACCGTCGCGACGGAGTATCTCGGCTGCGTCGTTGATTGGGGATTCAACGATAAGATTGCAGAACGCAGAACCGTAAACGGACGTGAAGACTTATATACAGACTTGCTTGCAAAACAATTAAGGGAAATGCGCTGAATGAATAGCGCTAAAAAATTGAATCAAATTGAGGATAAATGGCTGGAAAATGTTGCATTCGCATATAAATATCAAGATTAGGAATATCGAGTATTGTTTTATTTATTTACTTATTTATTTTTAATCTTATATTCTTAGCATAAACATGTATTCTATCTTAAAAACGAAGTAACAAATCATACAATAGGCTAACTGCGCTTTATATGCTTGATTTCAATCATATTATTAACGAAAATTATTTTCATCGCGCAAAGCAGCAAATATCATACAGTCGCAACCAACACTCTAACTACTAACATCACTACACATCACTCAAATTTATTCACTCGCGATGGAAAATATGAAAACAAAATTTGGATACGCTAAGAAAATTACTCAATCGCTCTTAAATATACTTTCTAAATTTTCTTATCCCATTTGTTTCTAATTGTTACAGAAGTTGTAATGTTGTCCATCAGTTAGATGTATTCAGCGATATCCTGCTCAATATAAAAATTCTGGACGATGGAGTTTCCATTCTTTCTAAATGGAAAAACATATTTTTTTTATTAAAACCATGCTAAATAATACAGTCACAATCTTACATTGATATCATTATTTTATTTTTTTAAAAAAAGAAAAATTCGTAAAAAAAATCTATTCCTCGGCTATCTAAACGAAAGCCTTCTCTTAAGCTTGATATGTTCGATTCTATGTACAACGCTTCACTATCGATAGAATTATTCTTGAAGCATAGAACTCTCGGATTTAGTTGTTCTTTGCTCATGCATGGCCTCGCGTGAACTCGCGGGTTGCTTTGACGATCCTCGCGGACGATTTATCGTGTTCCTACGTGACACAATGCGCGGCGCCGCGCGTATGCACGTGTCGATGTTGTTCCACCACATCACAGAATACACGAGGAGACGAGACGAGTGTACGAGGAATGAAAGAGAAATGTATGTTGGGACGAAGTACTTCGTAAGAATCGGAATCAACGTCGCTTGAGCGTACACGAGCGAATTTTTTGGAACGCGTTCGCTCCATGCGGATTTCATTATACATCGTGGCCGTTAATGCAGCAAGATGCGCGAAGTGTACATGTTACTGAGACGATACAACACGAAACTTAACAACCATATAAGACTTACATGTAAAAAGAAAAAAAGAAAATTATGCGTAATAACGTATAAAAAAATTGTCAAGCTCAGAAATTTTATAATGCAGTCAATAGCATTGCTTGTCATTTAATACACTCGCGCCTTGACTACTGTAGAAAAAATCGTGTTTTTCCGCTGTGCATTAAATTACGTGACTAGAATTTTTAAATAGTTTTAACGAAGTCTATGTTATATATACAGAAAAAATAATTCTGTTGGTGCAACCGAATTTTCGGTTGCTCAAGGATCAGACGAAAACTCGGCGGAACTCGTAGGAACAGAAAAATTTCTTTATGAGGCTTCTGTATAGTCAATTGTTCTCAGTTGCCTCAACCTAGTTCTGATATCGTTGAATGTTCAGATATATAATAATATTTTCGGTTGTGACAACGAAATATTAGTTTTCATAACAGAGATATCGCTTCTGATCACCTAATTTTCAGTTGGTTCCTATTTGGTTGCACCAACTGAAATTTTTTTTGCGTATATGTATACATACAGAAAAAACAATTCCGTTAGTGTAACCGAATTTTCGATTTCTCAGGGATCAGAAACTCGGCTGTAAGAACAAAAAAATTCCTTTATAAGGCTTCTGTATAGTCAATTGTTCTCAGTTGCCTCAACCGAGTTCTAATGTCACTGAATATTCAGACGAATATTTTCAGTAGTGGCAACAAAAATATTAGTTTTCATAACAAAGATATCGCTTCTGACCACCTAATTTTCAGTTGGTTGCTATTCGGTTGCACTAAGTAAAATTTTTTTCCGTGCATTAATGCGTAAACATTTAATATCAATTAATTTGTGATAATTTAAGTGACAATTAATTTGAGTATTAATTAATCGCATGACATTTTTTATCTAATATTCATATAATAAATATAACGTTGAAATACCAAGTTTGAAAATTTTATAATGCAATCAACAGTATTGTTATTGTCATTTTATACATTTGTGGCTTAACTACTGTAGAAAAAACCATGTTTTTCTAAACGCAACGCAATAAATTACATGACTACAATTCTAAGTAGTTTTGACGAAATATATGTTATATATATGCATCAATGCATAAACATTTTTTAATATCAATTAATTTGAGATGATAATTTGAGTGACAATTAATTTAAAGTAATCACGTGACATGTAATAATTACATATTTTCATGTAATAATCATATAATTAACACGACGTGGGAATACCAAAACAGAAGAAAAAATCCTGTTTTAATATTTTTTTTTCTTTTAAATAAAGAAAGGAATCGAGATATGTATATGTGCAAAAAACGATGGCAAGAGATCTCCGGGCACTCTTCCTGAGGTCAATCGACACGCATCGCGCAAGGTCTGTTATTATTATTTCGAAAGTCCCAAATGGTTACTGTAAAAAAAGAAGTCTGCCGAGGCGATCTTATCGATTTTGGTGAAAGTAACATCTTGAAATCTAAATTTGACTCCGATAAATTGTCCGTAAGTAGATGTAGAATAATGGCACGTTCTTCTCTGAAAATTTCCACGCGAGACGGGAGAATGCCGACTTCTATAAGAAAATTTCAATGCCGATATTTTGCAAATGTTTCGCTTGACATTCGACAAAAATGCTTAGGACGATTTTTAAATTTAAAACACAGTGATATTGACAGGCGAACAATCGACTAATCGCATTCGGCTGTTGTACAATACAAATGATACCGCTCCATGATAGCATTCTTTAAAAATTGCATCGAACGTACACGCGTTAAATGAATTCTTTCCGTCCGGTAAGAAGGCTGACATATCTGCGTCTAGGAAATTCCGAACAATCCAATTTCCGCTAGACTTACGCTAACGTCATAAGAATTTTTTCCCTTTCGATATTGCGCACAC